GGCGGGGGGGGGAACGCAGGCGTCTTCGGCGGCGGGTGGTGAATTATGGGGGGAAGTTTCCAGTGCTGGTGCTCAGCCCCGCCAGACATTTACCTCATTAGCCGCGATGAGATCATGCGAGCTGGCCGCCCGCGTCACACACGATTAGCTGGATCATTACGGCCCGCCTGGAGCGAGGGGCTCCCGCAGCACGCGGGGGACCCCAGCCCTGGGGCCGCGGAGGGGCCGCTGCCCCCAGCTCCCCTCGCACCATGCGGCCGCGGCGGCAGCACCGTGACCCCCCCGTCCTGAGGGGAGCGGGGCTACGGGAGGGAAGAGCTTTACCCCAGATGTTGCCCCCCCCAAGCGCCGTGGCACCGCTGGGATCTGCCCAAAGGCTTCCTGCCCCTTTGCACTGCCCTCTGCCCCCGGCAGCACCCGGCACCCAGCCCGGAGCAGAGCCTGCCCAGGTGGGTGCCAGCCCAGCATCTCCAGCATCTCCCGCTCCAGCCGACTGCCAGCTCCAGCGTGAATGAAACCCCCAGCTGCGGGTGCCCGCCGCCGCCGCAGGCTGCACAGAAGGACCCTGCCCGCGGTACAAGATGGGGAAAACCCCAAAACCGCCAAGTGCCATGCACGGCATCGCGTGCTGCGGCCATCCATGCGTCCCGCCGCGTCGCGACCGCAGACCACCCCTGCTCCCAACCATGCCCCCGCCGCCGCAGCGGCGCCGGGAGCTGCACAAGGGCCACCTCGAGCCGGTCCCGCTGAAGCGACGCTCAGGACACCTGGGAAATGCCTGGTCTGGAGAGAGCGGGGAGCATGGAGCCGCCAGCCAGGCACCCTCAGGCAGCGTCCGAGGGGAGGGCGGTAATCCACGTCAAGCCAAAGCTCCCACCAGAAAGGCAGCCGGGCTGGGCCGACAGCGTCAGGGGAGGGCAGATCCATCACTCCAGGAGTCAAACACCGCGGCGTTGGACTTGCCACGTTGAACTTGTCTGTCTTCAGCTTCCAGCTACCGGTGCAGGCGTGAGCGCTGCCGCCCTCGCGATCCCCTGTGCAGACGGGGCAGCCCCTCGCTGGGAAGCGTTACCCCGCAGCGGGCAGGAGTTTTGTTGGCTCCTACACTTTCTCCGTGTTTATAACGACCTTCTCAAGGAACAGGATCGTTTCCAGCCGCTGCATCGATCCCGAAGGCAGGGCACGATGCTCCCTCGTCCTTCTCGCCACGTGCCCGTGCAGAGCGGCTTGTGCGGCTGGCCCTGCCGCACGCTCCGTCCCGCGCCCAGGTGTCCTCCATCCCGCGGGATCGTCCACTTCCCCATCCCTGGCAGCCCGCTGACCGCACGGCTGCCGTCACCGCGGCTCCCTCAGCGTCCCTGCGCCCTGGCTCCATCCATCGGCGCGACCACACGTGGAAACGCCGCGTAGCACGGGCTGAGCCCCGGTCCTTGCAGGGCACAGCTCCGCACGGACGCTGTCACCCAGCCCGTTTTTAGTTGCTTAATTACGCCTGGGCCGCCGAGGGAAGTTGCGGTCTGCTCGTCACCAGACGCACGACTCTTGATCAAGCACTCCCGCATGCTGCAGAAACGGGCGTTGATCCTGCCAGGTAGAGCTGAGGGGTCCTCGCACGTCGTCCCTCTGTCACTGCGGCGGCGAAGGGCGGCAGAGCCACCGGGCCGGGGCCCTCGGCCACAACGCGGGCTGAGCTCACGGCACCACAGCCCCGCAAATCACAGGAGTCTGGGGGAACGCACGCGGGGGTCTCGTCTCGACCACGACATCCTCCTCTCGACATAGCGCTTCCCGTCTCCTGGCACAGCTCTTGCTCCGGAAGATGAACCCCACGTGGGCAGAGCAGACGTCCACGGGGTGAGAAGTTCGGTCGTGCGGGGTGGACAACCTCGGGGAAACGACCGACAAACCAAACCCCAAGGCAGAACTTGGAGAAAGTTGGAAGCGGAGCCATTTCAAGCGCTGACGGTGAAGAGGAGCAAGGGCAAACATCTGGCATGAATGTCCGGGAGGGAACGAGGGAGACGGGCGTCCCGGGGGCTGGCGCAGCGGCTGCGGGAGCGGGAGGTGTCCCCTCTCCCCCGTGGACCTGAACACAGGACAGGCCACCACCGTTCGGAGGGGACACCACCTCTGAGCAGGCCAAGCCAGGCCAGGCCGAGCTGGAGAGGGGGACCGGTGCCGAATGCCCCCCGCCCCACAGGATCGACGCTGCTGGGCAGGGACATCCGTGCCCCACGGCTCAAAGGGTAACGGCAGAGCGGGTCACCGTGACGGCCCTGGAACAGGCAGCACATTCACGTGGACGGGAGATGCTCAATGGCACAAACAAGTATCCCGACTAAATTGGACACGACAGTGCGTCAAGATACGCTGGCCCCATGACACATCATCGTGTCCCCTTCCCTGGACCAGACCCCCAGAAGCAGAGGGGTCAGAAGCAACAACTCGGCCCCAAATCTGCCGCGTGAGGGACAGCGGGGACCTCACCTACGAGCTGTGCTTGGGGCTCTGCACCGCCCACGCCAGCTCCCCGATGGCGCGTTCCAGCTGTGCGTGGCCCCCGTGGGACTCAGCACGCCCGGCCCCCGGCCCCCGGGCAGGCGGGGGGTTCCAGACGTGAGCCACGGCATTTCAGACAAAGTCACGGTGACCGGTTGGCCCAGCGTGACTTCTTGTCTCGGTGGGGAGGGCAGCAACCCGCGACGGATCTCAGCCAGACGGGCTCCTGGACGCTGCCACTGCTGCCCTCGGAGACCGAGCCCGTGCGGCAGAGGCGGCGCTGCGGTGGGCACCGGCTTCTCCCGACGTCCAACCTGCATCTGTCCTCACCTGGAGCACGGCTACGGTCGAATCCCAACGCCAAGAGGCCTCCGTGCCATCGAGGTGCCCAACAGCACATGCGACCGCCCCAGGGAGGAGGAGAGCGGGACGGAGGGAGGTCTGAATGCTCTGAATGTAACAACGAAGAATTTTTTATTGTTCTTATTAAATAAAAAAAGCACCCCTAAAGGCGTGCACAGCGCCCACCACGCCTCCGGCGCATCAGCGCGGGCTCCACTGGTCTCCTCCTCTGAAACGTCCCGGAAAACTCAGCCCCGGAGCCCAGCCCGGGATTCAGGCACGGGAGCGGCAGCACGGGATTCAAACGCCCGCACGCACACGGTGTTGGCTGCCGCGGGCGAAGCACGGGAGCACCTCCGGCTCCCACACGGCCGACGCCGGAGCAGGCACCGGCACCGGGAGCCTCGCCCCCCAGCGCGGGTGTCCAGGGGCGCGAAGGGCAATTCCTGGGCCTTTATCCCATCCGCTTCCCAAAGAGATGACAAAAATAAAGCTTTCAACCATAGAAAAGCCACCAGGTGACAGACCATTTGTTTTATATATATTTGTATGTATATATATAGAGAGATATTTATATTTATATAGATAGAAGTGGGTTCTTCTTCTCTCATGTAAAAATTCAAAATACAGTTTTTACTATTAACAATCTGAAGTGTAAATGTACAAATTTTTACTGCTAAGCAAAAGGAAAACAAAACCAAAGGAACAAATAAAAAGAAACACACAGAGCAAGAGGAAATAAAAAGAGAAGATAAAGCCGGGCTTCGGGGCGCCCCGGGGCACCCGCGCACACGGAGACCCTGGGGATCAGACCGCAAGGCAGAGACCACAACGGGATCCAACCCACCGGCGCCAGATCGGCAAACTTTTATTTCTCTTTTAAAAACCATCGCATCCGCCTCTCCGGGGGCGAGGAGGGAAGGGGACAGGGGTGGAGGGGGAACTCCCTTCCTCGGAAAAGCTACCCT